AAAAGAATGCAAAAGCTCACTTATATAACAATGATAAATTGTAATCCATTCGCAAATAGTAATTAAATAAAAGCCTTTTTGTTAAATTGTTGTATTGCCAACATCAAAGTAAATTCTCTGGTATTTAATGAATATGGAAATTTTGTCGAAAATTTCTTTGTTGTGGAGAAAATTCAGTGTAAATTGTCATTGTAAAACATAGTAAATGATTAAATTCTCTCGAAATGAAAATGTGCAATGTAATTGAGGCGTAATGTACAAATACTGTCAAAAGCACATACGCACACAGCACACAATACAAATATTCGCTTGGAAAATTAATTAAATTTCGTTTGATAAGAAAAGAGCTGCCAGAAACTTTTCGAACCCCATAAATGTGGTCGACTGTTCCTTCCTTGCACATATATGTAATACGCTCCGAATAATAAATAGTTTCAGCACACACAAAATTGAAATATACTAGCCCCGGCAGAATGGGCGATTTCATTTATCGATGTATATATTTGATATTGGATTTACTTTTATCCATTCTAATTGTAATTCAAATACATTTCACTTGCATTTATAAACATCTCGGTTTTCATCAAAATTTCAAATTGACAATCACACATTTAATAGGATCTGGCCGAGTTTCGAACTATGTGCATGTAATTCAAATAATTTCTTCGAAATTCAAATAATGAATGCGACATCTATGTAGTGATATTGTTTGTTTAGCGTTTTGAATATATGTACAAAATGTAAATGTTCCATACGGATAGGCTCGTTTTAGGAGCGTGGCTTTTCTATCACGTAAATGGATTATTATTTGTTGTTTACATTATGGTCATATTGATGGCATATTTATCCTTACTTTTTTTGTCCTCTCTTTATTTTCGAATGTCTTCGAAAGCAGACGATTAATATGTAAATATTTAGATTTAACTCTAAACACAGAGCGAGAGTGAGAGAGAGGCACTGGATATGCCAAATAAATTCAAATGACAGGTCAATGAACATTGAACGTTGTACGTTAAACATACCAAGTTCATAATTGTATACCTATCATTTAACTTTGGGTTCACTTGCATTTAATATAATGAGATAGGCAAGCACACATACACCGCACATATTATGATCTCCGTGACATTGTATTCGATGAAAAGCGTGTGTATGTGTGTGTGTGTGCTGCTGCTATTTAAATTGATGTTTGATGTTTATAAATACGACATTTCATCAATTCAAAATTAAAATGAGTGTTCATGAGCGGGCCATGGCCATGGAACACTCAAAATGAACATGTTCGTTATTCATTTATTTGTGGATCATTCAAATATTTGTTTAAAATCTGTGTAAATTTTTGCACTGACATCAACAACATGCTTGATTGGACTTGCACAACCGCAGGCCATTTGACAATATTAAATTTGCTTTTGCTAACGATTGATACGCAACGATGGATTAATTTAAAATCTCTTTCAGCGTTACGTATTATGGTTGCATACCCGATTATCATTATGTGTGCATGTGCTGAAATGTTCTGGATTCTCTGGAGGCTTTTCACTATGAAAATGCATAATTGTCGTTTCAGATGCGGTTGCGTTCTATATAACTCTCTCTCTCTCTCTCTCTCTCTCTCTCTCTCTCTCTCTCTCTCTC